GGCATACGCTGGTCTAACTGGTCATACGCGGGGCTTTGCCAGTTAAAATGACATCAGATATGTTTGTTAATTTGTGCTTGTGTTTTGACAGGAGCTTTTTGGAGCACCTGCTCTCTCTGAAGAACATTCCACATGATGTATGGCAGTGTTTCAAGTCTTCTGTGCAGGTAATGTTGGAAAGAGAATTAAAGTATTTTCAGAAAGGGCTATTTGTTAAACCTAAAATAATAATGCAAGATCAGAAACTACAATAAAGATCCCCTATGGCACATGTTTATAATTAATAGTATACCCTACCAAATGTATAATAATTATAATATTATATAATGATAACTATAATTTATAATAAAAAACTTTCAACACCCAACAGGACCAAAGGGCCATATACAAACTGCATGAATGGTGTTGATATTCTTTGAGGAAGGAATTTTAAAAACATTTCCAGTTCCTCCTTGTCATCAGTACCACAGCTTTAACACAAAAACCTACTGAAAAAACAGGTGTGATTATATATAATGAATTCAGCAACTGTCAGTATTGATAGTAGCCTCAGCATCTGTGGTCGTATCAGAAACCTCCACTGTCAGAGCTACGTAGGGCATCCCTCATAGGTGGAAGCACCGCTAGAGATTTGTTTTCCTTTTAAAACATAAAAAGCTTGAACCTTTTTGGTAAAATTGTGATAATAAAAAGCATGTGATTCTAAAAATTACAAATCCCATAACCAGAAAACATTTAATTGTCAGTATTGTTTCAATTTCTGTTTTGTATGTTTAGTATTGATATATTTACAGCAGGGATTAGTTTTGCTCTGAAAGTTCAACTGGATGTAAACAGTCCAAACCCAGAGACAGTGCTGTCAGATTAAGGAGTTTGCCCTGCAATTGAAGGGTTGACGGTTCAAGCCCCTGCCCCAGCTTTCAGTGTCATTGTGTTCTTAGGCGAGACACTTCACCCGCATTGCCTACTGCTGGGGTCAGAGTGTGTACAGTAGCCTCGCTTTTGTCAGTGAGCCCCTGGGCAGCTGTCGCTACAATGTAGCTCGCCACCATCATTATGTGAGTGTGTGAATGACTGATTGTAGTGTAAAATGCTTTTAACAAGTCTCCTGACTTAAAAAAAAAAGTGCTACAGGCCATTTACCGTTAAACCTGGTTCAGGCTACCTCAAATGCTGCCTCACCTTTCAGAGATAAACCAATCGTAGGTAGAGTAGTGCTAATAATCTTATCTTTAATTAGATCAGTCTTATTTACAAAAAAAAAACATTTCTGCTAAGAGTAGGTGGAATGGATGGTTCAACAGAGCTATGGATGAGTTTGGCAACTGGATTAAAAATCTATCTAGGATTATTTTTATTCTCCTCTATTAATGAGGAGAAATATGCTCTCTTGCTTTACAGAGGCTCCGCCTATACAGCAGTAAACTGTTTTTCCAGACTAGGTAGGATTCCTGTAGGCCCATGGAGTGCGATTTTCTCTCAAGTTT